CTAGATAGAGTGGAGCACTTTATACACTAGCTTTTTTTTTTTTTTTGCCTTAAAAGTAAGTCACTTAGCCAAGCTTTACTTTCTATCTTCCATTAGACTGGGCTCTGGTTTGAAAGGGATGGTCACAGTTAAGATCCAAAAGGGGACTGGTACTACATTCTTCTGGAGTTTTAGGTAGGCAAAGATTTGACTTCTCCACCTCTGGAAAAGGGCAAATCCAACACCTAACCGATCAGTTCTGCACTGTCAAAAACTTTACAATTCAAAATAAAGTTTTGCTACCCAGTTTTATATCTGAACCACCTACACCACCAGAAGGGGGACCACAAGAAAGGAAGGAGCCAGAAAACAAAAGACTACCAAGAATGCCCATGGACAAATTGCAAACAATGACAGACTGGTTGACTCATCATTTCAGGGCTAAGTGAATTGTGGGAACTGAACTCAAACTATCCCTCCCCAGTGGGCAGAGCCAAATGGCCCCATCCCACTGAGGCTGGGGTTGGCCATGTGACTTGCTCTGGCCAGTGGAGTATTAGCACATGTGACACATGCAGAAGCATAAACTGTGTTTGTGTGATTAGGCTTGCCTTCTTGTGCTTTTGTCATCATCACTGAGAACTTCTGGACAACTTCTGCAGTCTAGTCCAAGTCCGAAGAACACAGATGGAGCAGACCCGAGCTCAACTCATGGCAAGTAGTCAAGCTCAGCCAGATCTCCAGCTTGAAGCAGTCACCCAGCCAAGCCTGTCAGCCAACCTGCAAAAGCATGAGTGAGAACGATTATTTTAAGTTGAGCAGATTTGGGGCAGCAATAGCAACTGAAACCTAAGTACGTATCATTCTCTTAGACTCATCGCCAAGGGCAAATCTTGTTCCCTTTTCCTTCACTGCAACATGCCCAGAACCTAGCAGTTTCTGTACAGAGCAGATGTTCAAAAAACATCTGTTGTGGTCACATTTATGTTTCTTCTAAAACTGGGGACGGAGGAGAATAACACTGAAAGGAACTTACATAATTGAGTTGTCAGGAATGTGGTCCAACTTGAAAATCACCAATTTCAGCAAAGACCAGAAAGCATGTTAGAGATCATTAGTTGGATAAGAGCACAGACAATGGAAATGACTGCTGGGATTTAAATTTAGGCTTCAGGAATTACTGGCCAGGCAACTCTGGGGAAAAGTCACTTCACCTCTCTGCCTCATTCCTCACCTGTTAAATGGTACTATTAATAGTACCTACCTCATAGGATAGTTCGTGGATTAAGAGATGTACTTCAGTTTCTTACAACCTCGCCTCGTACATGACAAACACTGTACAGGCATTTTGACTTATCATTACCAGCATAAGATGACTTTGAGGAAGGTTATTAAAGTCCTTTTTGCCTGCTCCTCCAGTCACCTATTTATATCTATTTGTTCTCACTTTTGTAGCTCACCTCCATGCATGTGTGTAATTAGCTCTTTTGTAGGTCTGCACGGTCTTTTTGTGCTCTGGAGTGCTAAGTGCTAACACCTATTCCATCCTCTCCCTTTCACCAGCCATTTTACAAACTACTGATTTTGCTCTTCTCACCTAGGCTAATACTTGCCCCTCTCCACCTGCCCAAAATATAGCTGTTCCTCCATGTCCAGTCTCAAGGTCATCTCTCCCAGAAAGCCTGTTTTGATCTTCCTTTTGTTCTCTGACCTCCCCTAGCAGTTCATCTCAATTATACTTTTGTCCTTTCTATTTTCAGGTATATGTCTTTCCATGATGAGATGAGAACTCCTAGAGGATACCACCATGCCTTCTAGGTTCACTTTCTGCCCATCCCCACCCTCAAGTATATGGCAGGCAAGCAATAAATATTTGTTGAGTGAATATTTGAAAAACCCCATTAGGCTCATCTAAATTCTAAAACAGCTTTTGTGAGAAGTCAAGTTTTTAAAGAAGGGTAAAAACTAGTCAGAATACTAATTAGCCATTAAAAGATAAAGAAGTTTGAAAAAAAAAAGTTTGCACGTAAAAATGAAAGACACTTGATTTATTGCATTAAAAAACTTTATTTCATTTAAAAGGTCCAATATAAGCCAAATTAAACCCCAAATTGACAGCTACACTTAGAGATCTCCTGAACTAAATGGCACTGTTTGAGATGAGTGTCTTGTTAAAGGAAGTCATTTGCTATTACCACCATTTCCCCCAAAGTAGTTCTAGAGCAGAAGCTGGTTTTACTATAATACACATCAGATATTTCAGATGTCATCTTCCATGCAGAAGTTAAAAAAGCAAACAGGCTCTTCTATTCTGTATGAGGATAAAAACCACTTCAGAGCAGGGCCTGAATGCTTTTAACATACAAGGTGTAACTGTAAAGGAACTTACTGTGGCCCTGTGTTCATTCACTGAAGCTGTCCATGTATGTACTTCAACCATACTAGTGCTGCTCAAATCCTATTTGGACCAGTAGCTTGGGATTTCCCCTCATTAGGTTCAGACCAAAGAAATGGCTGATCAGTTGGGGACAGACTATCACAAAATGCGATCACAAAGCAAGGAAACAGATTTCCTAGTGGGCAAGCAATTGAAATAACCACCTCACAAACAATTTCAGCAGTGGCATCATTTACATAAAGTGATGCAAGATCTAAGTTTTGGTGTGTGTGAGGAGAAATTAAAAACAGCTTGTTACTTTATAGCTACACCTTGGATTTCATTAGATGGGTAAATCTAACTGTATTTAATGAGTCCTTCTGGAAATCACTTCAGCAGGTAAGTCAAACAGCCTGTAAAAGAGAAGACATGGCAGAGGGCGTAAGATTCATCCTTCCAACGTTCTCAGCGTTCTCTTGGAGGACAGACCCGGGCACAAGGACAGAAGTTACCGGGAGGGAGGCTTCAACTCCATCTAAGGAAGACCTTTCTAACAGTTAGAGCTGCTCAACAACTGAATGGACTGCTTGGTGAGGTAGAGTCACTGGAAGTGTTCAAGGTGGAAAGATCACCCTTGTAGAAGGGACTCCTGCATTTTGTTAAGAGGTTAGACTGGATGAACCTCAGGTCTCTTTCAATTCTGAGATTCTAGAAAATTCCCTCAGGGAATTCAGAAGAGAATTCCTAAAAGGAAAGAGAAAGCACACATATGTATACTTTTAGAATCCTCTTGAGTTTTTTTTCATTTTTTTCAAAAGGTACAATAGAAAATGTAGTCCACTGTCTTTAAAATGCATATTCACCTTCCTACCACTAACAATTAGGAAGGGTCCATTATGACTTCTTTATATTATAAAGAAAAGATGGAGGATTACATTTATAATTTCTGTAAATATTTTAGAAAAAAAATGCTTAAAATCTAGTAGTCAATGCCCTAGAAACTTTATAGATTTTTAGGTAATATGCACAGATACAAATACATTATTCATTAAATACAACTCACATCTGTGTTTTATTATACTCTAAAATATACAGGTATCTTGATGTACTGAAAGAGTGCAAGTAAATACAGTATTCAAGCAGTCACTATTTCTATGTACATGCTCATTAATTCTTCAAAAACCCCACAAAATTATCAAATAGATCAAAATACTGTTCTGTGTTTTCACACTTTATATTCAGAAAAACCAGCTGATAATTTACAATGTCATAAAGTTTCCAGTTGCACAATACAAAAAGGATAAAATGAAATTGGGTATCATTCTGTGAAAATTTATGGAACTTCACCCAGATCTGTAACATCCCCTACATACGTGAAATCATTCTTACTGGGAAAGTGACAGTTACAGTAAAAGCAGAACCATATAAATGGTTATTTAAAAACCTAAACATCAGCCTTTCTGTTATTTGAAAGGCAGTCTTCCATTTCGGCAGGCAACTGCTTCCTTCCCCAAGTAGTAGCATGTTTAAATCTGAATAGGACCCAATACAGAAATGCCTTCCAAGAGACCCGATGATGTTAACGTATCAATAACAAGGGATTTTCTTTTGATTATTCACCAAACAGTGAAAACAAAAATCCCCCAATCCATTGTGGAGGCACAAAAGTAACGTAAGAGACAAAGCTGTACCATCCAAAGTAGTGAGGTTGAAAACTCCATTTCCCAGGACCATATAGCTGCAATAGGGTGAAAATAATCTACTTTTTTGATTTCACGAAATTTTCTTCTTCTAAGAAATTCTTTACATTTTGAAACAAAAATAGTTCAATTTTAAACCTAAACCATTCAAAAGTGGGCAACAACAGCCCGACTCCAATCTATCTCATGTCAACATCACCAGTATTTTCACCCTGACTGCACTCAGTCAGCTGGTTTTTAATTCTAATATTATAAAAGTTGGAATTTTTAAATTTTTATGTAAAAGAAAAAATGTAAAAATACATCTGCTTTCTCTCATGGTTTAATACAGTATTCGAAGGCTTTCAGATGTTTTCTTAAAAAAAAAATCAACGTTTAAAACCAAATCTCAGCTTCATTTTCAGAAATATTAAAGTTTGGTTTAGATAATGTCTCATTTCACCTATTCCAGTTTCCACAAAATGGCATTCTATTAAAAAACTTTTAAGTTACTTGGTCCTTTGGCAATTTGCTGTGCACATAATGCCTACTATACCAAACTTTTATTGCCCTTAAATTTAGTTGTAGTTTTATTGGTAAATTTTTAATCTAGTGTCCTTATCTCTTCTTTTAGAATAGTGTTGCTTGTGTAAGCAGATTAGGGTGCACAGTGTCCCAAATTATTCCTGGCACTGCAAAACCAAATTAAACAACTCCACAAAGTAACTTGACATCAAAGTGTTTTTCTCTGGTCAAGTCTATTTCAAGATTCTAGAAGTTCCTTTTGCAAAACTTGCCTTTAAAACTCTTCTTCCTAATGTATCACATTTCTCATACTTGCTCACTCTGTGATCTCTCCTTTTAGGTTGAATTTGTACGTGAATAAGAAAGTGCCTTTTTCCTGAAAAAGCACAATCTGAAGCGTTAGCGTCAGAACTCCTCACTTAGACCTCTGGCTCAGCCTCTTAGTAGGTCTCGGAATCAGAGTCATTGAGCTCGTCCACATCGGTGTATAAGTACTCCTGTTCCCCGCCAATGTTGTTGAAACTGCAATAGGAGCTAGGTTCATTCCTCATGATGGGCAAGGCTTCAAAGCTGACTGTTTTTGAGGTGTTGGTATAACGGTTAATGGCATTGAATGTCAGGGATGATAAAGGGCTACTTGATGAGACAGGCATCATGGTGGCCAAAATGAGAGCCAGGCAATCAGCCACATCCTTATTGGGAGCACAGGCCAAAGCTGGGGTATAGCCTAGAATTAAAGATAAAATTTAAATAATTAGACATCCTGAGACCCACTGCATGGATATAAGGAAATAAGTTCAAATGGCCTTCAATTTCAGACATGTTTTAAATTACCTGGTTTATAATGAACTGTTTAATTAAAACGATTTAGAAAATTTCCACTCAGTAGAAAAGAGAAAAGTCATAGAAATCTAGTATGAGAGGAGACCTTAGTTATGTTACAGAAGAGGAAAGAAACTGAGGCCCGGAGATGGTGATTGCTTCAAGATCCCAAAACTTAAACCATATCCACCTGAGTTCACAGAAGATACTGAGCTAGAATTTAAAAACAAAAACAAAAACAAAAACACCTAAGACCGATAAAGCTTCCTTCAGAATGCCGGAAGAATCTTAATCATTAATTTATAGTTACTTAAGAGTTTACATGCTGAGAAACCTAAAAGTGTACACATTCATGAATGAGGCACTGAGCAGGCGCCCAAAGATGGGTATTGAATGAAAGACAGTTGGCTATCGATCAACTTTTTGGTAAACTTTATTATTATTATCTTTAATGTATTTATTTTGAGAGAAAGAGAGAGAAAATCCAAGCAGACCCTATGCTGTCAGTGTGGAGACCTACCTAGGGCTTGAACCCATGAACTGAGATCATGACCTAAGTCAAAACCGAGAGTTGGATGCTTAGCTGACTGAGCTAACCAGGCGCCCCAAAACAGGTAAACTTTAAAAACTCCTAAGCCAAAACAAATGTTTTGCTTTCAACTGTTTCTTTCGTTAGAAGACTGACTAAGCTTAGCCTTCAGGCACTGCAAAGTATCAACAAACTGAGTAAGTAAACATTTGGTACCCCGGCTGGTACAAGACCCTGAGGATGAAGTGAAAGAGAAGATGGGGAGAGCACACAATACGGTGCTCAGTTTAGATCACCCCATATGAAACTTTAGCAGCAAATGTCTTAAAGTTTTAATATACAGCTTCATTTTTGTTGCACATTTGGACACAGTTTTCCCTATTACTATATACACTCATGTTTTAGCTTTCACACTCATATATGTACAAGCCGACCCTTGAACAATGTGGTGGGAAGCTAGGGGCATTGACCCCTGCATAGTTCAAAATCTGTAACTTTTTAAAAAAATTTTGAGAGCGAGCAAGAACACGAGGGAGGGGAAGAGAGAGGGAGAGAGAGAATTCCAAGCAGGCTCTGCGCTGTCAATGCAGAGCCTGACGCGGGGCTGGGAACTCATGAACTGTGAGATCATGACCTGAGCCAAAATCAAGAGTCGGACACTTAACCAACTGAGCCACCCATGTACCCCGAAAATTTGTGTGTAACTTTTGACATCCCAAAACGTAACTCTGAATAGTCTACTGTTGACTGGAAGCCTTACCAATAACACGTAACAGTTAATCAACACATATTTTGTATGTTATATTGTACTCTAAACTGTATTCTTATAAGAAAGTAAGCTAGAGAAAAAAGTCCTAAGAAAATACATTTATAGTACTGTAAAAAATCCATGTTATTAAATGACATGTGGTTCAAACCTATGTTGTTCAAGGGCCAGCTGTATATATTTTGTAAACTCGTATTTGTTTTTTATTTTTTTTCTTTAAAAAAAATTTTTTTTTAACATTTATTCACTTTTGAGAGAGAGAGAGAGGGACAGAGCACAAGTGGGGGAGGGGCAGAAAGAGAGGGAGACGCAGGATGAGAAGCAGGCTCCAGGCTCTGAGCTGTCAGCACAGAGCCCAATACGGGGCTTGAACTCATGAGCTGTGAGATCATGACCTGAGCCGAAGTCGGACGCCTAACCGACTGAGCCACCCAGGCGCCCCTTGTATTTGCTTTTTAAATAGCTAAATGATTTATAAAAAAAAACATTCATGTAACCACCATCCAGACTAAGAAAGAATATTCTCAGCATACGAGGAGACCCCATGTTCCTTACTAATCACTACCCTTTTTCTTTTTCACAGAGGTAACCACTATCCTGATTTGGTAATAAACACCTGATGTGGTAATAAACATGGCTATGCTTTCCTTTCTAGTTGTATTCATAAACACTATAGTTTAAACTTTTTTTGAACTTAATATAAATGGAATCACACAGTATATATTAGTTCATACCTTGATTCTTTTGCTTAACATTATGTCTGTGAGATTTATCCATGGCATTGTATATAGTATATACCATCTTCACTGTTATACATTCCACTATTGTGATTATACCATGGTTTAGTTATCCATTCTAACTACCGGCATTTGGTGGTTTCCAGATCTCCTATATATTTTTATCCATGCTGTATTAGCCTTCAGGAAAAAAAAGTTGTTTTTTCCCCTTCATAATTCTTCCCTTTGTCAAGGGCTGAAGGGAACAGCTGGTGCCCCTACAAGCTTGGCAGGAGTGACTGAAGCGTGTGCATTTTCAAATTAAAAAAAAAAAAAAAAAAATTTTTTTTAAATACTTATTTATTTTTGAGAGAGACAGAGTGTGAGCGGGGGAGGGGCAGAGAGAGAGAAGGACACAGTATCCAAAGCAGGCTCCAGGCTCTGAGCTGTCAGCACAGAGCCTGATGCGGGGCTTGAACTACAAACTATGAGATTACGACCTGAGTCAAAGTTGGAAGCTTAACTGACTAAGCCACCCAGGCACCCCACATGTGCATTTTTAAATTAAACCCTGTTTACTCAAAATGTGTAGAATGCCCATACTTCTTTCAAGGGCTCTGCTGAAAGTCTGAAGATACCTATTGTATTGTAGTCAGAGCGACCCATTAGATAGGCCATGATCCCTTGGATGAGTAGGGATTGGGGGAGAAGAGCATCTCAGGAGTGTTTTATAGCTGGAATATGATGAAAACCAGGCTCCTCTCATCTGCATGGAGTTGATATGGTCAGCTAAAGAGAAAAGTAAGAGAAGTAAACTGCCTGAGGACGAGGGTCTAATTTATCCCATGCAAGTATAAAACATTGCGCTTCCTCCAGAAAATCCATGGAAACATATTGCTATGACATATCAACTTTGGACCATGATTACTATTTCACATTGCAAAGTGTGTTAGAAGATGCCCAGGTGGTCACAGGTGACCTTCATTATTATGTTATATTATCCCCTGTATTTCTTTATAAGGAAAAAATATATATAAAATCTTCAAAATGATCAACAAAGATTTGAATGTTAGCTATTGATTCAGAGTCTCACAATGTGGCCAAACATATACGGTTAGCATTTTAGGCTCCTCATTTTAAACTATATATAGTAGCTATATTTCCAGAAATGTAATTTACTGATAATGAAAATTTATTTTAAAGCTATGTAAGTCTGGGGTGCCTGGGTGGCTCAGTCGGTTGAGCATCCGACTTCAGCTCAGGTCATGATCTCATGCCTTGTGGGTTCGTGCCCTGCATTGGGCTCTGTACTGACAGCTCAGAGCCTGGAGCCTGCTTCGGATTCTGTGTCCCTGTCTTGCTCTGCTCCTCTCCTGTTTGTGCTCTGTCTCTCTCTGTCTCTGTCTCTCTCAAGAATAAATTAACATAAAGAAAAAAAAAAGCTATGTAGGTCTGAATTTATAGGTGAGAGCATTCACTTCTTTGGATTTCACGACTACATACACTTATGATTCCCACATCTCTATGTCCAATCTAGATCTTTCTTTTGGGCTCCAGATCCCTATGTCCCATTATCCACTTGGGAGTCTAGCTCTAGCTCTTCCTCCTACTTTCTAATCTTAAACAACAGCACTTCCATCCACACAGCACTCGAAGGTAGGTGGTGTGAGACCTCTTCCCTCACACAGTCCCTGTGAGTCCCATCATAAGATCTCTAGAAACAGTTACATTTTTCATCTCCAGTGCTTCTACCATAATTCTGGTCACTACCTTATCTCAACTATAAATGTTAATTTGTTTTCCCATTCTAATCTAGCAGACTAACTGCTAATTTCCTAGTGCACAGATCCTTTTTGCCACTTGATCTAAGAGACTCTGGTGTAACTCCAATAGTTAGTGTCTTCTGTTAGATTTTTAAACATGTCACTCTCTCCCTACTTTTTTTACTTGTCCTTTGGATTTTGGCTTATAAGTTGCTTTTTGGGGATGCCTTTCCTGATCCTGCAAGAGTCTAAAGATTCTCTTATGTGTTTGCATTGCATTTTAAGTTTATTCCAAACGAACCACTTCCAGGGCACTCTAACAGCCTGTTTATACTCCATTCAAGGAAGTAGACGGTCTTATTCTACATTGTTATCTTCAGAATTGAGTACAGTGCCTGGCACAATCACTCACCCAACAAATAATCACTATATCCAGGCACTCACCTCAGCACTCAGAATATAACAACGAATGCAAATGATATAGATTCCCTGTCCCCATGGAGCTTATCTTATGTTCATTCTAGTGGGGAGACACACAGTCAACATAATAAAAAAGTCATATACAATATATTAGAAGATAAGCTCTATGGAAAAAAGGAAGAGGAAAGAATAGAGCATGTTAACAAGGACTAAGCATGCTATGGTAGCTGTCTATAGCAGGTTGCAGTACAGATGGGGTTCAGGATAGGCTTCAATGAGAAGATAAAACTTGAGTAAAGATTTGAAACAGGTGAGGGACTTAGTCAAAGACTGAGTGGGGACAGAGTGTTCCAGGCAGAGAAAATAGCCAGAACAAAGATCACAATGCATGTACATTCCTGGTGTGCAGAGGGGCTGGCATGGCAGAATGGAGTGAGAGAAGGAAGAGCAGGAGATGAGGTCAGAGAGATAATATGGCCACGGACTAATCATACTGTAGGGCCTTGTAGATCATTATAACTGAAGACTCTCACATATTTTAAAAGGATCCAGGCCAGGGTGGTAAGAATAGAAGAGAAAAAAGTGGGCCTTTTTTGGAGGTAGATCAATAGTATATGAAGGACACTACACTAGGTGAGAGAGAGAGAGAAGTCAAGGATGACTCCAGGTTTTTGTCCTGAGCATCTATAAGGATGAGAATTGTCATCGACTAAGATCAGGTGGCTGTGGGGAGAAGGGGCTTGGCAGGGAAAAGGAGAATCAGTTAACTTCTGAGCAGGTTAGGCTTGAGCTGTTTATTAGACATCCATACAGTACTGTCAATTAGGCAGCTGGATCTGCAAATGGATCATATCTCCACAGAGATTATGAGAGGTCTGGGCTACAGATACAAATCCAGAAATTCTCAGCATGTAGATAGTATCCAGAACCAAATGACTGGAGGTAGATAGGGAAAGGAAAAAGAACCAAGGACTGAGTCCTAGAGCCCTCCAATATTAAGAAATTGGGCACAAGAGGGAGAAACTTCACAAAAGAAATTGAGAAGGAGTAGCTAGTAACATATGACAAACCCAAGGAAGTATGAAGTCCTGAAAGCCAAGTAAAGAAGAGTTTTAAGAAAAAAGTATATACCTGAAATTAACATTAATATTGCATGTTAGTTATGCCTCAATATAAAATAAAATAAAAAATTAAAAATTTTGGTTCCACTGAATCTGGTTATTTAATCCAACCATCAAAATACCAAATTACAAACCCTTACCTGGTTATTAATTCAAGGAACCATGTATTTGTGGATGAAGGCAGACTGGGTTCACCTAAAGAAGGATACTATAATCTCCTTTTTTTTTTTTTTAACACTTATTTATTTTTGAGAGACAGAGTATGAGTGGGAGAGGGGCAGAGAGAGAGAGAGAGAGAGAGAGAGAGAGAGAGAGAGAGGGAAACAGAATCCGAAGCAGACTTCAGGCTCTGACCTGTCAGCACAGAGCCCAATGCGGGGCTCAAACCCACAAACCATGAGATCAAGACCTGAGCCAAAGTCAGACACTAAACTGAGCCACCCAGGCACCCCTGTAATCTCCCTCTTACCCTGACCTAAAGTAATCTGTACCTATTTATCCATGTAACTTTGTGTGCAGTATAAAGGGAAATATGGAGACTCTTTGGATTATTTGCCACAGACACTTGCTATGGCAGATTGCAACCTTCACATCCCCAGTTAGTCCCTTATTCCTATTTTTAATTCCCTATTAAAACCCTTATTCCTATAAAAAAAAAAAAAAAAGAAAAGAAAAGAAAAAGAGAAAGGCATAATCAGTTATGCCAAACTCTGATGTCACTGGTGATCTTGAGACAGTTTAGCGGTGTGGTAGCGGCAAAGGTCTGACCGGAGGGCCCATAGGAGAGAATGAAAGAGGAGAAGAAATGGGGATAGCAGACAGCCAACACTTGAGTAATTCTGCTGCAAAGAGGAAGAGAAATATGGCAGTAGCTGCAGAAGTAAATTAAAGGAAGATTTTTTAAGATGAGGGAAATAATGTTTATATACTGATGGGAATAATCTAGGAAGACTCCTACAAAAGGTCCTTATTGCAGGACACAAAGTGAAGAATTGCTAAAGTGATAGTCTCAAGTAGGCAAAAGGGGATAGGATCTAATGAGTTAGTAGGAAGATTTACTTTAGGGCCTTGGTAAGTATTTGTTGACAGAACAAATTCTTTGAATACTAAGATGAACAAAGGTGGTAACACTAAACCAAAGTTAGTGAAATTCCGAAGTTCATCTGTTAGACACTTTTCTTATTTTTCTTGCCCTTATTCCCTTTGCCACAAAGTACTATTCAATATTAATTTCAGCTGTTCTCTGTGACCAATAAAAAATATCCACATTTACTTTACTTCAAATATGGATCAAAAGATAAGAGCTTCTAGTAAAATACAGTTTAAGGAAAGAAAATACAGAACCTACTTACCATTTTCATCTACTGCAAGCACACTTGCTCCTTTCCCCAAAAGTTCCTGAACCACCATCGTTAGCCCATTTCGGGCAGCAACATGCAGAGGTCTAGAGGAAAAAATGTATATATGTACACACAAATAGGTACAAGGCCTTGCATGTGCATGCACGCACATTCTCCCTTTCTCTCTCTCTCTCTCTCTCTCTCTCTCAATCCTGGTTGTTGAGCAGCACTTTTGCGAAGTTATGATGACCCAGAGATACAAAATTGAGGCACCCAGTCCTAACAGCAATAAAGATGGTAATGGGAGACAAAAAATCAGCGTGCAGAGTACACTGTCAAATCTTGCCAATGTGCATAAGCACAACACTGGGCCTCACCAGCAATTCACTTTTACCAATACCTCTTGTTTCCTTCTAAGACTCAATGTTTAAAAAGATTTTACTAACTAAACTGCATTCTTAAGTGGTTGTTTTGAGAAATGAAGTTGGCAAATGCATATAATAGAATATACAATAAAAGTCGTAAATTGCAATAGCACAAATTCCAATAGGCTTTGAAAGTAATTTACAGGTTCCATGACTAGTTTCTAGAACCTCAAGAGATATGGCTGATATGTGAATTGGAACCAGTATTACGAATTTTTTGTTGTTGTTGTTGTTGTTTGTTTTTACCAAGACTCAAAGTAGAATAGCAAACAGAAATTAGAAGAGAAACATGGGAGATGTATGTCTAAGACTTAAGCAGTCACTTGAAAGATGGCTGCTCACATTAAGAACTTGATTCTTTCTGAAATCTCTCTAGTTTACAGACACATGTAAAGCTTTTACCTCATTTACTGCTGGTGTCAAATAACATATCATTCCGGTTCATTTCCACCAAACACACAGAATAGTATTACTTTTCTTCATAAAATTATGGGTAATCAGATCAAGAAAAAAAAAAATCCACAGTATTTTCCATTATAAAGTTTCAGTCCAAAAACTTTTAAAATAATAAGCCTTTTAATTGTGATGACTTTAGAAATGAATTTTGTCAATTATAAAAATGATACTCTACTTTTTAACTGCTTCTGTGACTGAGACTGATGCCAATAGTCCCATGTTAGAAAAAAAAAACTATTAATCATTTTTATAATTCTAGGTCACAAGGTTTATACCAGACATGAAAATACTCACGTTTGCAAGGCTGCATTGGTTGCATTGATGAGGTTTCTATCTGTTATCTTTTCCAGTATTAACAAGGCACTAGTTTCATGACCCTAAAATTATGGCAAATAACTCTTAAAAACTTAGGTATCATTAAAGATAAATTTACAAATACAGTAAACCTCAACTCTAGTCCATACAATATGTACATCACCATATAAATGCCATGAATTTTCTTGGCTAATTATGCCTTAAATATTTGTGTGGAGTAGGCTTAGGGCAGAGGACAAGAATATTTAAGATTGGAGAGATTAAAGGAAGATAATAATTACATTTAGGCTTATACTCCAAAACTTACTTGGCCCACTGGAGACTTTCATATATCAGGGTGACTAATACAATATTTTCTTTTTTTTCTCAAGAAATTTGATGTCAGTCATTACAGAGGTTAAAGAGGTTACAGATCATTACAGCGGTTCGATCTCTAGCTCTGTTCACTTTAGTGAAATGGAAAAACTTTAAATGCCATTGTTGATATTAACAATGAAAACATATCCTTAAAATGAGTACCTACCTTGCTGCAAGCCAAATGGAGGGCGGTGTTTTTACTGTTATCTTGTAAAGTCAGATCTGCACTAGCACTGCTAACCAGCATCTCTGGGAGGAAAATTGCATCAAATCTTATGTTTATGAATACATATCTTGGATTACTAATAAACTCACTATAGAGAAAGATACAAAGCAAAAATATCCCTCTAGTGAAAGTTTAAGGACAAGAAAAATACTGTAATATACAATGTACACACTATATGGTCACATTACTGTCTAAGGCACAGACACAACAGCAACTAACTGTGAGAGTTTAGTGCCCTGGATTCATATTCTCCAGTAACTCTACAAAGTAGGCCCCTGTTATTTTTCTCAACTTTAAAAATTAAAAAATTGAGGCATAAGGTCATTTAATTGGCAGAGCTAGGACTCACATGCAGTCCATCTAACTCCAGAGTCAGTGTCTTAACCTCTATTCTATACTGCCTTGCCACAGTGGACTGTTCAGTCAGTAAGGGCAAATGAAAACATGGTGGCCCTAGATAAAAATGTGGGCTGAAAGCAGGTTAATAAAGATTTAAATCTCAGGGGTGGGGAGAAAACTGGCAGATTCAATAGAATCAGAAGGTTTGAGATCCAAGTTTTCCATAAGTTAAACATACATAAGCAACATAGCATTATAATAATAAAAGCCTTAACCGCTTTCTTTACCAACTGTATTTGTCTGTCCATTTTCTGCGGCCATCATGAGAGGTGTTTTCCCAGAAGAGTCCACAGAATTGACTTGAGCATTATGGCTGAGCAGCAGCTGTAAACACTCTACGTGGTCTGTGAAGGCGGCCGCATGGAGAGGGGTTCTGTAATGCAAAGAAATGGGAAGACTTCACTAAATCTGTAGGTTGTATACTCTCGAAAAAATTATTCCTGAATTTATGATAAGCAACTTTCAAGGGTTTACATATTAGGCTATAAAATCATTGCGTGGATACAAATAGGTTTAATGGAGCTTACTAATTTCTAACAGAGGAATTTGTATTTCTGATAATGTAAAAGGCCCTTAATCTAATATAACATAAAACTGTTAAAAAAATTACATCATTAAAGAAATAAAGGAAATAAATCCTGACCCAGTATTGCCACCCATTGCAACCACTGGACTTTCCTTCAGTCTTTATTCCTATTTAGAAAGCTGCTAACTTTATTAACGATAACCTCTGGGTAATAAACATACCTTTAAAAAAAGGGAAATCTTTATATTTTAAAGTTTTAAAGAGGAAGACTGGCTAAAAATCATAATAAAAATAAGAAAGTCTTTTATAATGAGAACATAGTTAAGATTTTATAATTAATACTTGCAAATATAAAAATCAGCTTTTAGTTAATAAAGGGTTCTCTACAAATTCTTCCACACAAGTAGTTAAAATTTTTGCCTTTTGCAAATCAAACTACTTCCTACACAGTGGAGTTCCTACCTTCCTTTTGAATCTGTGGCGCTCACGATGCTGGCACCTAATGTATCGATTAACATTTCAGCAGCACCTTCGTTGTCATTTATCCTGTGTAAGGTAGCACAGTGGTCACTCACAGCGATGGTGCACTTCGTAAATAGTTAAGAACAAATGTGATTCATCTGCCTTTACTTACACGGCACAATGCAAAGGACTGAAAGCATTTCCCTCCATTTTCTGGAAAACTTCCTGTTCTAAAAGGAGTTCTACACATGTCTCATGACCTAAATAAGTAAATGAGAATTGGATATTAAAATCCAAAAAAGATACTGAAGTGCCCACATATACACCCACACATCCCTAACACAGATAAGAAAAAACTTTACATGGATTTAAAATAACCAGAGTTCAATGAATATGTTAAACATCACATTTCTAGGAGTTTGAAATCCAAAGCACAACCTCAAGACCTGAAATTCAGAAGCTTCTTATAATTTTATAGCAATTTATTAACCGCTATAAGCAGTAATAAACTGACACAACAAATGTTTGTTTTATGGGGAAAAAAATTAGTCTCTATCTTTTTCATAGTAACTAGTTCCAGTCATTTTTAAAGTCATATTTCTATAGCATAATAGAACTTTAAAATTAACATATTTATACAGCATAATTAACTTCAAAATTTAAATATTTTCTGATTTTACTAATGAGCTAATGATAAAATCTCAAATGCTACAGAAGTGTCTGGAGGGAAAAGTACATGCCCCTATCCCTACCCCCAACTCCAGTTCCACTTTCTAGACTGTAACTACTATTATCTTAACAGTTCCAGAAAATTTCTAGGCATATACAACTACATGCACATAAACATGCACTTCTTTTTAAAACTTTTATGTAAATTTTTAATTCTGCAACTTGTTTTTCACTTAATAAATTGTATACATCCTTCCAAAGTAGCATATAAAGAAATTGTATTCTTCAATGTTTGGAAAAACTTCACAGTATTAAAGTCTATCATAAATGATCTAATTTCTAATTATGTATTTTGACTGCTGGTTTGTTTTTGTTATAGTACCAACAATACTGTAAATGAAACATTCCAGTACTAAAAAAAAAAAAACAAAACAACGCAAGTAATTTTGTAGGACAATTTCCTAGAAATGATATTGCTGGGCTGAAGGACAAGTATATGGATTACTGCTATATTTCAGGCTCACACTTTTTTTTTTTTTAATTTTTTTTTTTCAACGTTTATTTATTTTTGGGACAGAGAGAGACAGAGCATGAACGGGGGAGGGGCAGAAAGAGAGGGAGACACAGAATCGGAAACAGGCTCCAGGCTCTGAGCCATCAGCCCAGAGCCCAACGCGGGGCTCGAACTCACAGACCGCGAGATCGTGACCTTGCTGAAGTCGGACGCTTAACCGACTGCGCCACCCAGGCGCCCCAGGCTCACACTTTTTAATAGCAACTTTGAAGACAAGGAAAAACCCAAACCTCAGATTTTCTTTACCCAATTTTCAAAGCAGGGTTTTAGTTTTAAAATACCCCAACTGCTGTACTAATTGCTGCCAATGAAAGGTTGCATCCTTTTTTATTTTAAAAAAATTTTTATTTTTTTATTAAAAAAAATTTTTTTTAATATCTATTTATTTTTGAGAGAAAGAGAGCATGAGGGGGAGAGGGACAGAGAGAGGGAGACACAGAATCCAAAGCAGGCTCCAGGCTCCGAGCTGTCAGCACAGAGCCTGACACAGGGCTCAAACTCACGAACCGTGAGATCATGACCTGAGCTGAAGTCAGACGCTCAACCAACTGAGCCACCCAGGCGCCCCAAAATATTT